ATATATATATATATATATATATATATATATATATATATATATATATATATATATACACAGTGAAATCCGCTTATAGTGATCCTGGTCATAATAATCAACCGCTTATTTAGATCTAAAGGTTTGGGACAGAATCATTTCTATTCACATGCTGTTTAAATAATCTGTTTATAGTAATCAAGAAATCTGCTTATATTGTTCATTTTTTGACATTTTATTTATGTGCAAAAATAATTTTAAAATTCCGTATACATCTGGGAAGTAAAAGAGCGCTTTGGAGCGGGTACCAGTGCTGCAGTGAGGAGGGGGAGGATGAAGAGGAGGAGACTGTCGTCTCTTCCAGAGCTGAGATGAGGAATGCAGTCTGCATTTTAAAGACTGGCCTCCTGCATGTTGGTTTAAAAAACTTTGACCTTTTACATCGTTTTGAAAAAGAAGTGAACCCAGTGAGGGACGCTCTGATCCAGGGAACCTGGGGTAAATATGTGAAGTGATTTCTTAATGCGGCGCAGCAGATCCGCAACACAAACAGACGTAGCTAGCTTTCATTTTCTCTAGTCTATGCAGTTATTTTCTATGTTGTTGTTCTATGAAACCGTTTGTTTCAAACTTTATTTTCAGACTTGTTAAAAAAATGCACCGGCGGCACAGCACAGCCGCACATAATAAGTAACGTAGGCTACCAGAGCTACGTCTGCGCACAGTGCAGGATACTGTCATTTGACCTGCGTGGTACTGGAATATATTCAGTAAATATGGAAAACCTAATCCAGAGAAATGTCAAACTGGGATGAAAATAGGCTGACCAGATGTCCTCTGTTTCCTGGACACTTTTCATACCTAAAAAATGTCCGGGGGAATTTTAAAATCATGAAGGGTTTGGTCGACTACAGCGCAGCAGAACCCAGCCGTGAGCTGCGGGGGCTGGAACCCTGGAGGACGGGGGCAGCGGGGGCAGCGGGGGTAACAGAGGTCAGCTGCAGCTATCTGCACTCAGAGCATTTTCTGTCCGTTTTTTCTTCTCTCCCGCTGCTCCTGTGTCCCGCCTCTCTGTGTGACATCATCAGATCGGTTGCTCTGAGACATCTGATTGGTCGCATTTCACTGCATAGAGAGTCGCTACGTGGAGGAGGAGAGAAACACAGCAGCACTCAGTGAATATTAACCAGCAGCTGCTTCCATAGATGCTTATCTAAAGTTAGGAGACGG